CAACCTACTAGCGATGGCATCCAACCTAAGAGCGATGGCATCCAACCAAAGAGTGATGGCCTCCAACCTACTAGCGATGGCATCCAACCTAAGAGCAATGGCATCCAACTTAAAAGCAGCCTCCAACCTACTAGCGATGGCACCCAACCTAAGAGCGATGGGATCCAACCTAAAAGCGATGGCCTCCAACCTACTAGCAGTGGAAAACCTAAGAGCGATGGTAAGATGCCGGCACCTCTGGCCAGAATGTCCGTCCCAGATTGGATTTATGAAGGTGACGGTTGGTGATAATACTCTTCGAGGCCTCAGCCAGCACCAAAACAATGCCTCACATTGTGGGATCTCACATCAACCAGGGCCTTTGACGATGGCCATGATCTGCATTCACCTTGGCTGGACGCTGACAAGGTTCAAAGTTGCAAAACATAACTTTGCTCCACACATCGGCTTGCCATCTCAGAATCGCATCCGGACAACCGGAGCCCGGCTGCACAACACATACAAATGCACAACCATCACCCTCACCATCATGATGACTACCACTAAGTTTGCGATTGTGCAGTGAACCGCAAAAATTAAACACAAATTAAACTTCGCTTGTCTCTTGTGTGTTTGGGTCGCGTGTTTTTTACGTAGGCGCCACGGCCTGCGTATATAGCTGACCCTGCAGGAAGCCAGCCTGTGCCAATCCTATGTCGGGCGACGAGCCGCACAGGAAAATGGGGAAAGCGAGTGGACCAGCGCGTCGACAAAATGAGAACGCCACTGCACAATTGGAGGCCGATTGCGATCCTTCAGATACACTAGAAATTTGTTTCGAATTTTTCGTGTTTGCGATTGGGAAACCACTTGCATTCTCAGCAACCACACGGCCAAACAGGATTTAAACCTAATTCTGGTGTTGATAATGATTTTGTCACAATGGAAACACTAATCAGCAAGTCCTTGGAATTGAATTGTGACTTATGGCGTGCAAGCCTGCACTTGAAAAAGGCCTTGACAGAATTGGCATGTCGCTGTGTTCATCACAATGTCTGCTCATGGTGTGCCGGGTCGCTACCTGTAGCCTGTAGCTAATTGCAGAACTTTATCGAAAACAGACTGGTTGGATCAAGGGTGGCAAGCGGTTTGCTATTCAACATGGGGTGAGACAAGGCGACATCATGAGCCCATTGCTTTCCAACTGTGGCTTGGAGGTTGCTAATGGGCAGATGGAAACACCGGTTGCAAACGCATGGTTTTGATGTTAATGGGTTCAGGTGGCTGACCAACATCCGATACGCGGACGATGTGATCTTTTTGATAAAATGATTGACAGAATTCTTAATCAAAGAACTCGCACACATCGGATTGACTTTGAACACGGCAAAAACCAACATCCTGACAACATGCGCATTACGAACCCCGACCGTGATTCAAGTGGACGATGCTTTCTTGGAAACTTTGGTTGGTGATGGCGCCAGGAAAACTTTCGGAATGTTTTGACAAGCAATTTGCACAACCGAGGCCACATGGAAGTTGCCCATAGACACAAAGTCTGCCGGGGAAAATTTTGCCAGCATGCATACACCTTGTTGAGCCAACACATATCTTTACAATTGTGGGTGAACTTATTTGAAGCCACCATTACACCTACCGTTCTCTTTGGTTTGGCATCCGCGCCTGTGACGAAGAGAGGCACACTGAAATTGGATGCGTTGAGGCGACGCATGTTACGCAGAATTGTGGGATGGGTTAGGTCTGATGAAGAACTTGGCAGACAACTAGGCAACAAGCGTCGCATAAATGTTTTTCCGCAGCGAGGGCTGGTCTGCATGGCCATTTGTATACCGGCGGCCACCGGATGTGCGAATAGGCCACGGGCCGGGCTAAAGCCTAGAACCACGACGGCATTTAGGGAGCCCCTCGAGCAAGGAGCTCGCCTAAGGGCAGGTGTTTTGCTTCAGCGGAGTGAGAGAATCCGTGGAACGATTCTTTGCATTTGGCCGCTCACATTGGGTCTCGGGCAAATTCCTGGCCCACATTATTGTTGAGATAGGATCCAACATAACAATGGCACATGAATTTTCAATCAAAACCACGTCGTCGGCAGGGCCGGCCTGCAATCAATGGGATGACTCATCAGTTAGCTAAACTCAAGCTGCTGAACAGAATGCGAAGCGCATGCAATGCGACTCCTTTTGTCGTGGCTGTGTTGCACTTGAGTCAGTACCACAGCCCAGAGGTCTGACAGGGCTTCGCCCGTCATTCCCCCGGGTGGGTGGGAGGGCAAAGCAGTCCCTAGGCTGCAATCACTTGAGCCAGTGAAAGCAGCAACTCAAGCTAACCCTACGTTCTGGCGAACAGACGAGTTAGCTAAACTCAAGCTGCTGAACAGAATGCGAAGCGCATGCAATGCGACTCCTTTTGTCGTGGCTGTGTTGCACTTGAGTCAGTACCACAGCCCAGAGGTCTCTAGCGGTTGACATCCTCCTGAACTCTTCGGATTTCTCCTCCTGCTCCTCTGTTGGCAAGTGGCTGAGCTTATCTGGATGGTACGATCTTGCTTTCATTCGGAACGCCTTGAGCACTTCGGGCGTGCTGGCCCCTCGCCTGACTCCGAGGAGTCGATGCAGGTCTAGATCCGGGTTGTGCCTGAAGAAGAGGTGTGATTCCTCCAGCTTGCTAACTGGGGCTGCTTCCATGATGCAGCTTCCAGCACGTTCGCAGAAGGATACCCGTCGGTCTGGGGCCCAAGACAAAGATCTCGAGCCTAGAGTCCTACGATTGAGATCGGACCGATCTTGGTGGTTTCCAACCGGTGGGCGATCGGCGGCTTGAGCTTTCTGACTAGGCAAGGTAATGACGTTGCTGCCTATCATGCCTTGGGAGATGCCTATTTGGGCTGTGTGGTCCTCATATAAGTATGCATGAACGGCATCAGAGGTCCAACCCCGGTATCTCTTCAACCTCTCAAGATCCCCGGTAGATGCGAAGAAAGCCGTGGCCCCCCCTTTGCGGAGTGAATGAGACCCTGCAAGTTCCCCCAGGTATCCCGCAGCCAGCGCTGCCACCTTAATTAGATGGGCTATCCCTTCGCGGTCGAGGCCGGATCGGTCAGCGTACCGAAACAGCGGCTTTTCAAGCTCCGCACCTCTCCAACGATGAGGTTGTAGTGCTTGCAATGTGGCCAAAGCCTCGACCGGGCACAGGTCTCCACCGGAGCGGTGGTGTGAACGAGCCTGCCCACGACCGAACTGGTCTGTCTTGGAGGACCTGACTTGGATCACTACCTCATCTGCTACCGTACCCAAACAGGCTTGACCCCCCTTGTAGAAGGCAACATCGGCTGGGCGGATCGCCCGATCTAGCGGGTCTGATCCATCCCCACCACCCAGTCAACAGGGCCCCTCTAACCATGGCTTGGTCTGGCACGGTTAGACCCATTCGTTGATGTGCTGGCTCAACCACCTGAGCATGGTTGGGGTGGAGCTTTCTGGTTGGGGCCCCTTCCCACCTCTGCAGTCCGGCTACGGCAGACCACAGCCGGGGTTTCCCTGAGAGTGGGTCGGGGTAGCCGGCAGTGATGTGGGCATAACGGATGGCTGAAAGCCTTTGTCGGATGCCTCCTATGGAGCGTCCCATGATTTGGTTGAGGAAAACCACGAACCTGATCAGTCTCTGCTCATCTTCATACCGAGCGGAACGCTCCTCTCCCGTGAGGAACAATGGTGACTTAGCCCCACTATTGAAAAGGACCCACTGCTTCCATCCAGAGGCATAGACTCTCCTGGTGGAGTCAGCTAGCTTAGCTAGCGCCTCGATGCCCACAGTTCCCTTTGGGGGGTGCTCCGCTTCTTCTTGTCGGTTTTTGGCTGGGGCAACCAGCTCGTGAGTAGGAGTCAGGTAGGGTTTTTTAGCTTTTCCTTTCTTGGGGGCACCGGCTTTCCAAGAGGAACCAGCATGAGTGGGGGGGCACATAGGTTCTTTGATTTTCCAGGAGACCAGTGCCAACTCATTCGATGGTCTCTTGGGGTTTCTACCCCAGGCTTTCAGGAGCTTGCATCTCATCAGGGTCATAGACCCCTGCTCGTGCTCCCTCCCCGCGATGCGTCGCTTGGAGCAAGCGGAAAGCTGCCTGCCAGCCAGGCTCCCGTACCATGGCTTGCACAAGGTCGGAACGACCTGATGGAGGCGTGTCGTTCCAAACAGAAGCTTCCCCACCTTGCATTTCCCAAAGTTCTTCGGGGAGGAGCGGTCTCACATTCCCGGATCCATCTTCTAGCAGTGTTCCCCCTGGAACCTTTAAGGGGTGCCCCCGGAGCCTGGGCCCACATGCTGGTCCTCGGTGGCTATGCACCAGGTGTCTCTCCCCGGTGGACTTCTCAAGAAGGTGTCCTACTGGTTTAGGGAGCCAGGGGTCCCCAGTGGTCACGATGTTGGGATCTCGAGTGAAGACAAATTCTGGGGGTTGGAGTAAATTGGGGGCCTGATTGAAGGGCTTCAGGGGCAGCAACCAGCAGGCGTTGACATACCGGATTCGCATCGTCTCGACTTCCCCTTCAACTGGTTTGGCTTCACCCCACCAACACACGACCCGTTTTCTTGCCGCGAACGATCCCAAATGGGTGGTCTGGTAGTGTGCTGTCATAAAGCTCCCCAGTTCGGTGATGAGCTCTTCAGGAAACTGAAGGTGGGAGTCCCCCGGACAGTCAAGCATGACACCTCTGGGAGGATTTTTCCTTCTGCCCTGCAAGACTTCGATTAACCGTGAGATCTCAGCTCCTCTTGGGTCGTGGCTGAGAGAACAAGTTAGCCATTCAGCCTGATCTTCACTGGTGACTGACCCCCCGCCCCTGGCCCATGCAACCTCGAAT